TAAAAGAATGTTGAATATGTCAATATACATGCAAAGAACATGTACCTCTAGTCAGAAATAAATGTGCAGATTTCATATTTACAAAACACTTTTCAGACTCAATAATTTATCTGACATTGTTAAATGTAACAGCTCTGAAGTGCCATAAAAATTCTTGGGCTGTCAAGCGTGGTGGGCCATGCCTATAATCGCAGCCCCTGAGGCTGAGGCAGGAGGGTCACTGTACCACTGAGCTACATCCTCAGGCCTGATCTCTGCATTTCCTTTTTTTCCTCCGGAGACATCTCAGGGGTCTCTTATGCAAAGGAGGCTCTGAGACAGGAGGGAAGGCCTGACCCTTCCCAAGAGGGACTTTTAATTTTTCTGTGGCTGCTCAAGCACAGCTCCAGGAGATACTTCTTTCAGTCAGAGGCCTATCAAGTAAGAAAGGGAACCCTTCACACCTCATAAGCATCCTACCTAAGCAGCCTCTCAGATGACTGGGGGTCAGTCAGTGCCTGGTTTTCCCTCATACTGAAGCATAAATCTAATAAACCCTCCTCCAGACAGCATATTCCTGTTGTTGCAGCTGGGTCTCCCTTATGTAGGGCAGGCTGGGTTTAAACTTGTGAAGTCCGGGGTGGCTGTCAACTCTCAATCCTCCTGCCTCACCCTCCCAAGTATTAGGATTACAGGTGTGCACCACCACATCTGGCTAGCACTTTGCTTTTTTTTTTTGGTACGCGGGATCAAACTCCAGCCCTTGCACTTGCAAGGCAGGTGGCAGAACCACTGAGTCAAACCCCTGTCCCAGCCTTTTTTTATATATATACTAGGCACATTTTTTTTCCAGGCTCATATTTTGCCATTAAAATTTTTTTAATTTGTTGGGTGTGATGGTCTAGGCCTATAATCCCAGCACTCAGGAAGCTGAGGCAGAAGGATCTTTACAAATTGGAGGCCAGCCTGGGCTACACAGTAAGTTCAAGAACAGCCTGAACAACGTGGTGAGACCCTGTCTCAAAAAACAAACACTTCCTAAACTAAAAAGAAATTTTTAGGGCCGGGGATTTAGCTCAGTGGTTCTGCCGCCTGCCTCACAAGCACCCGAATTTGATCCCTGGTACCCCCCGCAAAAAAAATACAAAGTAAAAAAGAAAAAAAATTAAAATTAAAAAAAAATAAAAGAAAAAATTTTTGAGAAGCAGACTGGATTATATGCTTAAACTCCCAGGATTAAGGTTATTGGATTAGGGCTGGCGATTTAGCTCAGTGGTTCCCATTTGCCTGGCAAACCCAAGGTCAGAGTTCAATCCCTGGTACTCAAAGAAAAAAAAAAAGAAAGAAAAAGATTACTGGACTAAAAATATGAGCAGTTGTATGGTTATTACAATCTGTTGTCATTACTTTTTTGTTTTTTTCTGCATGCTTTGAACATGTGAGGCAAGCACACTACCACTGAGCTACATCGCCAAATCCTGCTATCATTTTATTTTTGTAAGTACTGGGACTTGAATCCTAGGCCTCCCTTATCCCTAGCCTGTTCTTTTTGTGTGTGTGTGTGTGTGGTACCAGGGATCAAACTTAGGACCTTGCACTTACAAGGCAGGCACAGCGCAACTGAGCTAAATCTCTGGCCAGTTTGTTTTTTGAGACAAGGTCTTGCTATGTAGCCCAGAATGGCCTTGAACTTGCAGCAATCCTCCTGCCTCAGTTTCCCGAGTGCTGTGATTACAGGCATGAGTCACCATGCCCCACGGTATCCAGGTAACTTCAAACTTGATATCCTCTTGTCTCAGCATCCCGAATAGCTATGCTGTTACTAGTATTTTTTCAGAGGCAGGTGTTGAGGATTGAATGCAAGGCCTTTTGCATTGAGCTACATCCCCACTGTTTTTTGGGTTTTTTTTTCTTGTTCCAGGAATCGAACACTGGACCTTGCACTCGTGAGGCAGGCGATGGAATCACTGAGCTAAATCCCCAGCCCTTCAAAATAATAAATTGTTTAAAAACCAATAATAAGGGATAGGGATTTAGCTCAGTGTTTCTGCTGACTGCCTCACAAGTGCAAGGTCCTGAGTTCAATCCCTGGTACCAAAAGAAAAAAAGATGAATTACTAGTCAACAGGTTAAGGGCTGAGGATTTAGCTTAGTGGCACAGCACCTGTCGCACAAGCCAAAGGTTCTGAGTTTGATCCCTAGTACCAAATAATAATAATAATAATAATAATTTATTGTTTTGAGACAGAGTCTTGCTAAGTCACTCAACTGTCCAGGCTGAGCTTGAACTTGCAATTTTCCTACCTCGTGTGTCATAACTTTTTGGGGGGTTGGGGGAGATAGGTTCTCACTATACAGTTCAGGATGGCCCTAAACTCACTATGTAGCCCAGGCTGGCCTTGAACTTGCAGCAGTCCTCCTGCCTCAGCCTCCTGAGTGCTGGGATTACAGACATGTACCACCATGCATGTCTGTGTGTCAGAACTTCTTAAAAATAACTGCATTACCACCAGCAACAGTATAAGTATGCTTGTTTTACATCTTTTCTGACTGGATATTATATAAGAAACTCGTCTGATATAAAAGATTGATTACTAGAGGCCAGGATTTAGCTCAGTGGTTCTGCTGCCTGCCTCACAAATGCAAGGTCCTGAGTTCAATCCGTGGTACCAAAAGAAAAAAAAAGATGGATGACTAGTCAAGGGCCAAAGATTTAGCTCAGTGGCACCTTGCCTGCCTTGCAAGTGCAAGGTCCTGAGTTCCAATCCTGGTACCACAAAAAAGAGGTTAAAGAAGGGAACTATAAAAATGATATAAGCCAGGCGTGGTAGTGCACTCCTGTAATCCCAGCACTTGGGAAGCCGAGGCAGGAGGATCGCTGTGAGTTCAAGACCAGGCTGGGCTACATACTGAGTTCCGGGTCAGTCTCAAATACACAGTGAGATCCTGTCTCAAATAACCAAACAAAACAAAACAAAACAAAAAGATATATATATTGCTGGGCATGGTGGCACACACCTGTAAATCCACCTAATCAGGAAGCTGTGGCAGGATGGTTAGCTCAAGGTCAGCCTGGCAACTTAGCAAAACCCTATCCCAAAATTAAAATTTAAAATGGGCTACAAATGTAGTTTAGTGCTAGATTGCTTGCCTGTTATATATGAGGCCTGGGTTCAATTCCTGGTATCCCCCTCCAAGATATATATATACACACTTTAAATGTCTTAATTTAAATATACAAGGCAAATTCAGACTTGTTTGCAAAACTCTGGCAAAAGACCAAAGTCTTACCTCAGAAAACTGGTCAGTGGATCTGTTCAATACCACCTTTTAACAAAAATCCCAAGTATGACCCATTCTACTTTGGGTTCTTTTAAGGTATACAAAGGACCAGGGATTTAGCTCAATGGTGCCACTCACTGCCAGCCTCGAAAGCGCAAGGTCCTGAGTACCAAAAAAAAAAAAAAAAAAAAAAAGCAAAACTTAAGATCCATACAAACTAATCTCTGGATAGAATGCTTTCTGATTTAAAAATTTCTTCCCTAAACCTGGTGTGGTGGTGCATGCCTGTAATCCCAGCACTCAGGAGACTGCGGCAGGAGGATCACCACGAGTTCGAGGCCAGCCTGGGATACACAGTGAGTTCAAGGCCAGCCTGAACTATATAGCAAGACCCTGACTCAAAAAAAAAAAAAAAAAAAAAATTATTCCTTGAAGTATTTTATAATCATACTGCTTACAGAACTAAATCTCGTCCCTCAGTTTGACATTCTAGCTACTTTCCAATCTGGTCTGTAGTTATTCACAACTTCATCAACCATTATTGCCATTTAGATTTTTATTTATATCATAGACAAACAACTACTAAAAAAAAGCCATATACATATGTGTGTGTGTGTGTATGACTATGTATGCATGCATGTACATGTGTGGTGGTGCACACCTGTAATCCCAGGATTCAGGGAGACCAAGACAAGAGGACCAAAGGTTCAAGACCAGCCAGGGTAACTCAGTGATTTAGAGAGGCTCTGTCTTAAAATTTAAAATTTAAGGGCCGGGGATTTAGCTCAGTGGTTCGGTGGCCTGCCTTGCAAGCGCCAAGGACCAGAGTTTAATCCCCGATACCAAAAATAAATAAATAAATAAATACAATTTATCCCAGGCGTGGTGGTGCAAGCCTGTAATCCCAACACTCAGGAGGCTGAGGCAGGAGGATCACTGTGAGTTCGAGACCAGCCTGGGCTACATAGTGAGTTCCAGGTCAGTCTCAACTACATAGTGAGACCCTGTCTCAAAAAACAAAACAAACAAACAAAAAAAGTTGGATAGGGCCAGGGATTTAGCTCAGCGGTTTGGTGGCCTGCCTCACAAGCGCAAGGACCCGAGTTCAATTTCCGGTACCAAAAAAAAAAAAAAAAAGTTGGATCACGCTGGGGATTTAGCTCAGTGGTTCCGCCGCCTGCCTTGCAAATGAAAGCACCCAAGTTCCATCCCCAACACAAAAAAAAAAAAAAGAAAAGAAAAGCTGGATCACTAGTAAGGCTATGGGTCCATCCTTAGGGGAAGGGGAGATATTCACCTGATAGGGCTGTTGCACCCAACTGAGTCTTACAAGGTCTTTAGATTTCTGAAGCCACATAACAAAATCTAATGGGTTCATTACAACTCATGTTACAGAGTACTTTGTAATTGTACTCCTTCATTATACCTGCATTATCCAACCATGCTTGCCTTTATTTCCTAGAACACATCTAATTCTTCCTTTTACATATACATATATATATATATATATATATACACACACACACACACATACACTATATATATATATATATACACACACACACATACACTATATATATATATATATATATACACACACACACATACACACACACACACACACACATATATACATACAATCCTCCTGCCTTTGCCTCCCAGAGTGCTGCAGTTACAGGTGTGATGCTGCAATACCCAGATGATACCTTGTATTTTAGGTGTTAAACAGGAGAGGACTGATCTTTCAGTTTATGAGCATGATGACTGGGTGTTCATGCCACAGTGCATGAGATGTGCCTCACACAAACCTTGTTATAACGTTGGCATATTACCTGTCTGATGTGAAAAACTAAAGAATACTTGGTAGGTTATTATAAATTCCGCAGGGTACTGAAAATCAGAAGCATGAGCTTCTGATTCAGTCACAGGTTCATGTTTCAGTTTTACTGTATAATAGTTAGACAAGTTACTCTAACTTTAGCTGAATTACCTACAAAATAGGGATCTTTAGTCTTTTAGATAAATGTAAAACACAACAAATCACTGAACTCAATGTATAGCCAATATTAGTAAAGTACTATATAATGAGCTGAAAAAAATTTTTATTTTATTTTTTTTTTGGAGACAAGGTCTCACTATGTATTCCAGGCTGGCCTTGAACTCACTATGTAGCCCAGGCTGGCCTCAAATTCACAAAGATCCTCCTGCCTCGCCTCATAAATGCTGGGACTACAGGCATGCGCCATCATGCCCAGACTGGACTGGAATTTTAAGAAATCCAATTAATGGTTAAATATTTCCACAGGGTACAGGGTTTCCGACTGAGGCACAGTTTTAAAATGGGATTACAGATTTATAAGAAAATATATAGATAGGGCCAGGGATTTAGCTCAGTGGTTCCAATGCCCGCCTCTCAAGTATAAGGTCCCAAATTCAATTTCCAGTACCAAACCAAACAACAATAATAAGAGGGCTATTAGTAGTACTTCTGGGGCGGGCGGGGGGAATGACCACAAAAACACTGTTAAAAAAAAAAAGAAAATATATAGAAAAAATGTTCACTATTTTCAAAGCATATTTTTGAGAAAGTGGGAGTATTCTCAATCTAAACCCATATTTAAAGACAAAACCACCCAACCAGGCGTGGTGGCACATGCCTATAATCCCAGTACTCGGGAGGCTGAGGCAGGAGGATCACTGAGACCAGCATGGGCTACATAGTGAGTTTGAGGTCAGTCTCAACTACATAGTGAGACCCTGTTTCAAAAAAAAAAAAACAAAAAAACAAAAAAAACAAAAAAAGAACCAAAACCACCTTGGGCAGGGATTTAGCTCAGTGGCGCAACACCTTGCAAGGACAAGGTCCTGAGTTTGATCAGCAGTACTAAGGGGCGGGGGAGACTGAGTATGTAGCTCAGTGTAAAGGTCAGGGGTTCAAGCCTCCCCCAGAAAAACTCTTCAAAACTAAGTAATGATGAAAACCTCAAGACTCGGAAAGTTCTCCTCAAATGATCATAAACGATATGCACATTTTAAATAAGGAATATCAGCTAAACAGATTACTTTTCTCCAATCCAGCTAGATCATTTTTCTACAAAGAATACAAACGAAACCTTACTTCACAGCAATATCCCAAAGCTCAGCAAAGGGCTTTGATAAGTTTGCAAATCATTCATCTGATAAGGTGACTTGAAAATGCTCAACATCATTAGCCATCAGAGAAACAAAAATCAAACTCACAAAGACCGAGAAGGGTTGGCAAGGGTGTGGAGAGAGCGGAACCTTTGTATCTGGTGGGGAGCACTGTAAATGGTACAGCCATTTTAGAAACCAACTTTTGGTTGCTTTTTTTGGAGACAGTCTCGCTATGAGTTCAGAGTGGCCTTGAACTCATTAAGCAGTCTAGGCTGGCCTCCAACCTGTAGTGATTCTCCTTTCTCAGTCTTCAGAGTGCTAGAATTACAAATGGAGGCCACCACGCCATAAACCAGTTTGAAAATTCTTTAAAAGGTTCAAAAGCCCCATTGCTGAGGCAGGAGGATCTTGACACCAGACTGGGCTACGGGAATGAGTTCAAGGCCAGCCTGAACCACATAGCAAGACCTTGTCTCAAACAGCCTAAATAAATAAATAAAAAGGATGAACATGCAGTTATCAATATAATCCAGCAGTTTTACTCAGGTATATATACTCAAGAGAAATAAAAACCTATGTCTACACAAAAACTGGTACACAAATTTCCATAAAAGCATGACACGTTACAGCCAAAAGATGGAACAACCAGGGCTGGGGATGTAGCTCAGTGGCACTGTGACTTCCTGGCAAACACAAGGTCCTGAGTTTGATCACTGGAACCAAAAAAATAAAATAAAGATGGAAACAATTCAAATGTCCATCAGTAGATTAATGGATAAAATGTGCTATGTCCATAAGATATCAAATGGCAGGAAAAAGAAATTAAGTAGTCATATAAGATGAATAAATCTGGCAAACAGTATGCTAAGCAAAAACCAGTCTCTCTGTCGGTCGGTCACTCACACACACACAATACATCATATATGATATGGTCCTAAAAATTTGAAATGTCCAAAATGGGCAAATCTATTGGCAGGAGGCAGTGAGAGAAAATGAGGAGTAAATGGCAATGGGTAGTTTCTTTTTGGGGTAATGAACATGTTCTACAATTAACTGTTGATATCTATAAGTGGGCCTGACTTTCATAAAAGAAATGTACAGCTGGGAATGGCACAAGCCTATAATCCGAGTAATCCGAACTCTGAGGCAAGAGGATCACTGAGTTCGAGGCCAGCCTGGGTTACATAGTGAGACCCTGTCTCCAAAAGCGAAAAAAAAATTTTTTTTAAATGTAAAATAAATGAGCCAGGCATGATGGTGCATGCCTATAATCTCAGCACTTGGGAGGCTGAGGCAGGAGGATCGCTGAGTTCGAGACCAGACCTGGGCTACATAGTGAGATCCAAGTCAGTCTCAACTATATAGTGAGACCCTGTCTCAAAACAACCACCACCTTAAAATAAAAAAAAAAAAAAAAAGAGGGGAAATATTTGTACAGCCAATTCACTTTAAAAAGCGTCCAGTCAAAGTATGCCGGGATAAAACTTGTCCATCTTACTGGTGTTTTGAGACTATCTCTTCATCACAGTTTTACTAACCATCTAACAATGAATACATCACGTACTCAGCAAAAGTATTAAATATCACACAGATTTTTCACTAACAGCAACAGCACACAAGTTTGTACTGTATCTTCTAGTAAGATGAAAGATCAAGCTGCAATCTATAGTTTCTCACCACATTCCCACTTGGCTTTGCCAGTTGATTTAGACACTTCGTAAGCAAAGGCAGAAGTTGATTTCAAACAATGGGCTTGCAATGGTATTCTTTACTACTTTTAAAAATGTGGGGGGAAATGTTATAAAAGCAAGAAAGGAAGGGAAAAAAAATTGGTTGTCTCACAATAAAACATTACCAGGAACTGTAAAAATCTGTTCACTCTTGACTAAAACTGGGAAAACAGGGGAACGACAAATTGCTAAATTTAATATTCACTACTAGGCCTCTTAAGGGGGGAGAATGCGAGGGAGACAAGGACTCTGTTGGAGAGTGGGAGGAAATCTTGGGTGCGATCTGCAGGCGAGGTCCCGAGTGGCCCTCGGCCAGTCCCGCAGCCCGCGTAGGCCGGGTGCGA